CCCTTATCTTCAGATGATGCTCAGTTCAAGACATTCAGTTGTGGGGTCTTGCTTGTCTTCTCTTTGCTTGTTCAAATGTGGAAGGAGGTACTGAAACAGAAGTCTACAGACCTCCATATCACCTTCCATATAACTTCTCCGGACGTCGGTTCTCTCACCTTTCAAATGAGGGAATTGGACTAGATCTCCACCCTTCCCGCCTCTGACCATCTCTCAGATTCACCACTTTGCTTTAGAGTCTGGCTCTCAGGCCACACAACACAGCAAGGGGAGGCAGGCTTAGGTAATCAGGACTCTTTACAAAACAGCACAGTGCCCCAGTGTTTACCCCACTCCCACCTGCTGGGCCATTGCTCGGGAGTGAAACTCAATACAAAGGAAAAAGTCCAAGATTTACACTAAAAATAAAAAGAGAAATAAAAAAAAATAGAGTAATACACATGTCCCATTGCATGGTATCCTCTTTTCACAGAGAACAGAGAATCTCTGTCACAAAATTAGGGGGAAAGGCAATTTTCTATAACGCAAATATTTTTCTAACAGATATGAGTATACAAAGGGAGGCAAATTATTATAATTACTAGGTGACCAAAAACTTAGAAAAAGAACAGGTGAGTCTGTTTTTTTGTTTGTTTTGTGTTTTGGTGGCGAGGGGGGAGTGGTTAGCGAGGGGAGGAGGCAGAGCAGAGAACCAGCCAGGAATGGTTTAGCTCAAGGGGTCTTTCACACAAGCATCATGGCCAAACACACACTCCTGTTCCCGTCCTTGTTTATTTCTCACCCAACTACTTCATGGTATTAGCTTTAGGAAAAGGCTCCCTCTGCCTCAGAGTCACTTTTTTTTGTTAATAATTTGTTATTGTTATGTTAATCACCATACATTACATCATTAGTGTTTGATGTAGTGTTCCATGATTCATTGTTTGTGCATAACACCCAGTGCTCCACGCAGAACGTGCCCTCTTTAATACCCATCACCAGGCTAACCCATCCCCCACCCCTCCCCTCTAGAACCCTCAGTCTGTTTTTCAGAGTCCATCGTCTCTCATGGTTCGTCTCCCCCTCCGTCCCCTTCATTCTTCCCCTCCTGCTATCTTCTTCTTTTTTTTTTCTTAACATATATTGCATTATTTGTTTCAGAGGTACAGGTCTGTGATTCAACAGTCTTGTACAATTCACAGCACTCACCATAGCACATACCTCCCCAATGTCTATCAGCCAGCCACACCATCCCTCCCACCCCACACCACTCCAGCAACCCTCAGTTTGTTTCCTGAGATTAAGAATTCCTCATATCAGTGTGCCTCGGAGTTACTTTACTAACATTACCCACCAATATGGCATATATAACAAGTCCTTCATAAGAAATGTCACTTCATGGGGTGCCTGGGTGGCTCGGTCAGTTAAGCAGCTGACTCTTGATTTCAGCTCAGGTCATGATGTTAGGGTCATGGAATCAAGCCCCACATTGGGCTCCACACTCAGCGTGGAGTCTGCTTGAGATTCTCTCTCTCCCTCTCCCTCTGCCCCTCCCCCCACTTGCACATGCTCTCTCTAAAATAAATAAAATCTTAAAAAAATGTCGCTTCATAAAAAAATAAAATTTAAAAATTAAAAAAAAAAGAAATGCCCCTTCTAAATGATCTACAACACAATATGTTTCAACAGCTTTCACGGTGATCAATTCTCCAAGAGACAAACCACGGTTGACTTCCTCAAGCACTCAGCTAAGTTGTTAAAGTTATATAACTGACTTCAGAATCCTAAATATTTACCAGGCACAGAGACCAGTTGCCCCTCAATAAGGTCCCTTAAAATAGGACTTTTTTAATGTGGGCACACAGCCACTTTTAATAAAGACTACTTTTTTTTTTTTTTTTAAGGCTACATTTCTAGCCCACCTTCCAGCTAGGTGTGTGATTATATCCCTAGCCAATGGGATACAGTCAGTGGTTGCTAGCAAATATTAACCACCAGTTCTCTCTGGGAGAAAAAGAGGTGATAGGAGAAGCCCTGGTTTGCAGTGTTGCCAATTTCCATGGCATAAAATACTCCCAAAATGGGTAATTTCAAGTTTCTACCTTGATGGCACTGAACATGGAACTGGAAAGAACTATAGCTCTCAAGTTGGTGCCAACTGGCTCCAGCACATCCCTGGGTGTAATAGAGTATTATATGTGATTTCTGGGCAACGTCCTTAAAGCAGGAGGCAAGTCTTAATGGATATGAGCATGGCCTTCCCTTTGCTCCTCCTTACTGGCCAGAATACAGCCGAGATTGGTGGAGGTCCAGCCATCACACTGGATATTAAGGAGGAAGATATGTATATAGAAATGGCAGACTCACAATTGAACAGCCCAGGTCCCTGCTGATCAGTGCTAGCAGACTGGCCCTGAATGTTACCCTGCAGACTGCATTTATGTGACACCCGTGAGAAAGAGGAAGCTTTCTATCTTGTAAATGCATCTGATAGTTAGAGCTTTCCCATTCATAGTGGAATCTGTCCCAACAGAGGGCATCACACAAGCTAAGGAATGTAACTGAACAAAACTAGGACTTGCATCTGGTAGAACTGTAAAGGATTTGGATTTGAAACAGTGACAAAATGTCTGGACCTTTCTGGAAGGGACAAAGAGGGTAGAGAGAGAATAAAATCAGTGGAGAGCAGTCCACAGGGGAAGGGACTGGAAAGGCCGAGCTACGCCCTCTCCTGCTCAGCTCCCTGCCCCCACCCCCCCACCTACAGACCCACGACAAAGAGTGAGCAGCCAGGGCCCACGAAGCTTCCTCCTGGGGCCAGCTCCCGAGACCACAGCTGGGGTGGTCCATCCCCTCTGCCCTAGAAAGAGACTGTTCTCAGACCTGTTTCTTCTAGAGCATTTTTCCCAGGTGGAGAGGAGAAATGGGAGATGTTTAAGGTCACGTAGGGGACAAAGTGAGTTGACTCAGAGGCAACAATAAGGTAGTTTAGCATATTCTGACCTTCTGGAGTTTATTTAAAATACACTTTTCAGGCACAGACTGGTCTGTTACTGTCTTTGTGTTGTACAGTGGCTTCCAGACAAATGTAGAATGACTTACTTAAAATATAGGTATAATTTATTATTACATGTGAACCCATCCCAAAAGTTAACATGCAAATGGAACGTAATAGTGTCATAAATATATTCTTATCTACTTTCAAAATACTCTTTCTCAAGTCCCTAGGAAACAGGTTTTGCACCATCAAACCAGCAACTCAGCAATGCTGAGTATCTGAGCGCATCCCTGTGCGCACTCTGTGGGGGTCCTACAAGGACATTTTCCATTCACTCTGTACCTGAAAAGTCTCTGACTGTGTATTTTATTCTACTTCAGTCTCTTGACAACTTCAGACTCAAGGACTCCTGTGTAATCAGCAAGATCTTTAATCCCTCCTCACCACCCACACCAGCCTCCCCTCTAATACGGGTGATGCTCAGAGCCTGACACGGGTTGAGGGTGGGAGTGGGGGGCATGCTCAGTGACAAAGGAGGAAAGGGTGGGGAGCAGCCAGACCAAGTCAGCAGGAACAGAGGGAAGCGCCTGGCTGAGGCACACACAGATGATGAACACCTGGGGGAGAAGGGCTTCTGAAAGCAACTCTCTACAGTACAATCTAGTTCTAAGATAAAAACCCGGAAAGAATGAAACTTCCAGTCACACCCCCTCCCCCCACCAAGAATCCTAACAGTAGCTCCCGTTTACAGGGACAAGGATCTTGTAGATAATTACTCTTAAGTCAAATATCCAGGCACTGGATGGAACTCTCTAGGTTCACATCCTGGCTCTAGCATTTGCTGACTGTAGCAAACTACCTATGTGTGCCTAGTTCCAGTTCCTCCATTAAAAAAAAAAAGAAAGAAAGAAAAAAAAGGATTATCAGGGATATTTTGCAGGGTGGTGGTAAAAATTAGAAAGCATGATATAATGCTCATATGCCAAAGGTCTGCACAAAACAATATTCTACCCATTAGAGCTATAAAACTTTAGGTTAGAAAAGAATATATGTGGTTACTGTTGATATGCAATCAAAAATTGAAATTAAGTTGATGGCATAGTTTTAAATTATAACAAGTAAATACAAGCTGAAATGAGCAACACTTATTAAATAATCCACCCTCTGATAATCTTGGCTCCCAGAGGAAAAGGAGATAAATTCAGATAAAATCTAGCACTGTTCTGCCAGCTCTGTTCTGCAAATTCTATCTCCATTTTCACACCTCTGTCTACTACCCTCACTTATGTTTCCGCTTAATAGCACCCCTATTCTCTTGAGCAAGAGGGAAATTTCTGTCATTTTCCTTTTTAATGGAAGCCTGACATCTGCAGACTACCTGTACCATCCCACTGGACCACTGGCCAAATCCTAAAATGTAGCTTAAACATTTGTGAAGAAAGTCTACCTCTGTAAAAGTAAGTATACCTGCTAAGAAGTCTATCTTTAGCAATTTCATGCCTACGACGCCAGAATATCCTACAAACTAAATGACCTTTTGTAGTCAGAAAACGTATTATCTAAACAAGCTCTTTGCTTCCCTCCAGTATAATTCTGAATAAGAGGAAGAGAGCTCCTTCTGAAATCCAATATTCAAGTGAAACAGAAAGGATCCTCATGTTAAAAAGGCACATGGGAGGTACAGGAAACAGCCCATGGAGGGGGCTGTGAGCTGATTAACAGAAGCTATGAATTCTTCAGTACCAACAACTTAGAAAAGAGGAATGTGGACTACAGTGTCTTGACCCAGAACTAGCATTGCTCATCATAAGGCTCTCTGCAGACTTTTGAGGCAACCAGTTACGCAGCTTCTGAATTAATTTTGTAGTTTATTTGAAGTATCACAGAAATAACTACTAGAGGTTTTAGTTATACACAAATACTAAGGAATTTTCCTGAATGAAGACATTTTAAATTGGGGTGCACATTTTGAACCCCATTAGCTCAAACTCAAAGTCAAACAAAAGCAAGGAAATAAACTCACTTGTCAAACTCGTCAAAGAGATCACAACTCTGCAGTTTTGAAAGAGCAAGTCGAAAATATTCCGCTAGAAAACAAATGGAATATTATAAATAAAAGGAATCATGGCTTCTTAGGTACATAGTAAGCCATCTTCCCCCCTCCCTCCCCAAACCCATTTCAAACTGGTACAGCTCCATGGATTTATTCCGTGGTGAAAATTAATGATACAACTGCAACTAGCCAGCACCACTCAATAGGCACACTGAAAAATGCTCCAAGGGCACTTTACAAAAACTCAAGAAAAAAAAAAAAAGATGCTTAATCTGAAAACAATCATAAAAAAGTAACCCCTAAAATATCAACATCAGACGACATTAGTAGAGAATATAGCCTTTCAAAAGTCTAAAAACCAATTTTCAGTAAATTTAGATGTATTATCAAATGCTCTGCAATATGTTTTTAAAACATATACACACACACTTATACAATCCACAGGCACAAAACGGGATCAGTTGAATATGCAAAATCTAACTCAGAAAACTGTAAGCTTATCACCTCCTGGGCTTTCAGGGTCTCTCCCAAAACTACAACGTAAAGCTACATAAAGCCAATTCACGTGTCAATAAGCAAAGAGAAGACTATTCTGTCATTAGTAGATACAGTGATTCTCTCTCAATTTGGCAACAGTGAAATACCTGCTGGTTAAAAGGCTGATCAAGGAGCTAGGTCTTAAATTGATGAAATAAAATAAAACTCAGAGGTAAAGAGGCGAAAAGGGGAGCTGGGGAGGACGTTAATCCAACCCGCAGGGTATCCTGCTAATTCTACATTGGAATAAACTAAGGCATCAGAACACATGAATAATACCATGGCTAAATCAAAGTAAAAAAGCAGTTTCTCAATAAAAACAACAAATCTACCATTTTATTCTTAAATTCTACACTGCCTCAAAAAGGAGTAGGGATTTCTGTATTGAAATTTAATTTCCTTCATCCCATCTCCAAATCATTTCCTTTAGGAATCATTATGACGCATAAAGATTAAAAGGCCCTAAAATTATATAAACATGTGGTTCACATCAAACACCATTCGCATTAATAGGGTTAGGTAAAGAATAATATTACTGACCTGATGTTCTTATCCCATAGGGCAAATCAAACTTATCGCTACCATACAAGGAAGCAATCTTTTTAAAATCAGCTGCACACAGAAAAGGGTGAAACTGATGAAACCTGTGGGAAAAGGAAAAAGAGTGATTTCCCCAAATGCCTACCATATCTGCAGCCTTCTAAAATCACAGCTGAAATTAACTGCTGTGATATACTGACTATACGAAAACGTGTAATTGTTTTTCTAATTCTTTAAAAATCACATGAAACAGTATTTAAGTATTATATAGAATGGAATATGCAATGCAACTACACAACCAGAACGTAAACACTTTCCAGGTTGTGGAACCAAAATTACGTCACAGCTTCAGGGGCTAATGAGGGGGGATCAAAATTTAAAAAACCAACACCGGACGCCTGGGTGGCTCAGTTGGTTAAGCGACTGCCTTCGGCTCAGGTCATGATCCTGGAGTCCTGGGATCGAGTCCCGCATCGGGCTCCCTGCTCAGCAGGGAGTCTGCTTCTCCCTCTGACCCTCCCCCCCCCCATGTGCGCTCTCTCTCTCTCTCTCTGTCATTCTCTCTCTCTCAAATAAATATATAAAATCTTAAAAAAAAACCAACACCAAGTGATAACATGTTAGCCATATGCAGGAAGAGACAAAGGAGGTAGTAAGGGAAAATAAAAGCATGGATGCTAAGCCACTCTCAAATTTAAAAGTACCATATGTATGAAGTTGTGTCAGCTGTGAAAATAAAAATATAACAAAAACTCGACGCGCCGAGGATTAAACTCTTTTCTGATATCATTAAGACTTTCTCAAGAACAAGAACTGTGGGCACTGTCTTCCTATCATCTGCTCTGTCCTGCCCCGCTAACACCACTCGGGTACCCTCACAGACAAGAGAGCCAGTTTGAGAAGGGTGGGATGTGCTTCCATTCCCCACCCCTCCTCACTTTTAGCACCCAGCACGGAGTAAGCAGGCTACATATGGTTAATAAACGATTGAATGAATTTCAACTCCGTGGTACTTCTTTACGGAACCAGTATGATGTAGAAAAGAAGGTTTTTTTAATTAAAAAGAAGGAACAAGTCAAACTAGTCCATACTTCATCCCCCACACTTGGCCCCACTTTTCCAGTCCTAGCAGAGCTGCCCTTAGTCTAAAAACTGCAGGTGCAGATCACAGTGCCCTGGGGCTTCAGGGGCTGCATGACAAAGAGGAAATAAACAGCCGTGGGATAGGGGTGACAGAGCTTCAGTTTCCTTCTGGCTTTGCCACTCAGGAGCCACTAACCTCAGACAAGTCTCATGAGCTTAACGTCTTCAGAGCTGAGTTAGAACTCACACCATATTCAGACTAAGGAAACAGGTGAGGATGAGCCCTTCCTGCTTGACACAGGATCTGTGCCCCAGACTTAGTTGTGACAGTGATAGCAGTCTCGAGGGTCCAGCCTTATTTATACATGTTGGGTTCCAAGGTAAAACGTATTTATCCCCAGTATAGACTGGGTTCCAAAGTAAAGTGTATTTCTTACTATAGGTCACGGTCAAAAAAGTTTAAAACCACTAGTTTTGCAGTAGTCCTAACTGGACACACCCCTATGGAAAGACTACAAGTAGCCATGCGTACCTGTGATCATATGCAGAAATGTTTTATGTACCTGCAGTTTCCTAGAGAGTTGATTTTAAAGGAATCTGTAGCCCCAAGAGGTTAAGAACCAGTAATGAAAAGGTACAGTAACATAATTAAAAGAAAACAGACATTTTTGATCCTGAATGGGTAAAATATTGAAAAGCCTGTACCTGTTTTACACAATTAAAATGACCAGACTGTCATTTATTTCTATTTCTCTAGAAGCACTTTGACCAGCAATCTGTCAAAGTTGAGGTGACGGAGGAAAAGAATACTTGTGGCTATTCTACAAGTCCTGACAACCATGTAGAGATCATTATTTACATTCCAAGTATTTCACTGAAAGTCCCTCAAAGTGAGGAAAAAGGTCTCATCATAAAGTTTAACCTAGAGGCAAGGGACAAACAGCCACAAAATAATAAGGGTGAAAAATAACATGGAAACAAGGGGCGGGCAGTAAAACCCTGAAGAATAGTTCACTTTTTTATAATCAAACACAACTCGGCCTCTCTAATATCACCTGTGTAAAAAGAATACTGGTCTGATGGAGTTCTTCAATGCCTTTGCTGAAAATATATGCAGAACTCTGACTAAAAGCACAAAAAGAGACAGGATATTCAAGCTCTTCCTTAAATACAGAGTGTCTATTTTCTACTGCTAAGATTCATATGGGGAAAAAAAAACTAAACAGGTGTGAGATATGATTACAAACACATTTTGAACATTTTGTACGTCACAATTTCTTTTAGATTTTTACCTCAGGAGAGAGGCAAAAGCTGGCTTTGATAAACAAGGCTGGATCTTATTTCTCCGCTTCATTTCCACAGGTGGTACCCTATGAGACAAAAATAGGGTCAGCCAGAAACCAGAACCAGGCAGCCTGCCCAAAGGAAAACGAATGCCCTGGGAATCGGCTCAGTGCCACCACCCAGAGGCTTCCCAGGCATGGAATTAACAGCTCTCACAGAAGCCCTTGAGGGAGGACAGGACCCTGCACGGATTTGAGGATGCATGGATACAAGGCAAGAGAGTGAGAAAGGCTGAGGCGACAAGCAGCCCGGAAGTAATTCAACAAGCAGTGAACAAAGAGCCTTCAAGAAGGGCTAGAATTACCACACTGTGGAGGCCCCAAGCAGGCTGACTTTTGAAGTCCCCCCTGCCCCGGCCCACCCAGAGCCTGAGAAACCCCACACACGCCCGTGCACATGGCTGTCTCTGTCCTCCATGCCACATCTGGGGACACCTACCACAGAAACACAGACCTGCAGATGCAGCCTTGTGATCTGGCCTCCACAAATCACACTATTCAGAGTCCTATGGAACTCTCCTCTATTCTTGGCACAGGTTAGGCCCTTCTGGGTCTCCTGAATGGAGTGCTTGTCTCCACAATTTAAAAGGGTATTGTGAAACAAGACAAAGCACGACAACAAGAATAAGCGAAGGGGACAGGGTGACAGGATCCAGATTTAACCAGCTTCGTAACTGCTTAACAGAAGAACATGTTAATGATCAATGACATGAGGAACTCATCTTAAAAAACTAATCCATTTTCTTCCATAATCACAGGACTCAAACTAAAAGTATTGGTCTCAATTTTCAATGTTTTTGTTAAAAAATCCCCATAGTTGGAACTGCTAGGTTTCTAAGTGACAAAGCTAGTGAAGTCCTATCAGAGAAACACCTTCTGTGAGTACCACAAATGGCAAGAATCCCTTGATTTATATGTAAGGAAGGTACATAAATGTGGTGGACTAGCATATTAGACCATAAAAACCAAATTATATTCAGAGGACAAAATGAAGTGTAAGATACATTTCTTGGTTTCTAAGGTTATTCAAACAGAAAACCTTTTAGGATATTGAGAAGACAAACTTTGAGTGGCTTTATAAAGTTATCTGTCTTAAATAATTCTTAAGGAATTAAGTTCACAGCACAAAACCCACCCGAGGTAATTTCCGACGGTACTCTATATGACTGGAGTGATGTGTTAGCTTAGGAGTGTTGTAAACATTCGTCAAAGCCTGATGACAAAACACTGTGTAGAATTCAGATTCTTTACATTGTCTTCCTTATTTCCCTTGTGACACACAACAGGATTTGTAGGGAAGTAGCAATCTAGTAAACTCCTTGCTTTCTCTTCTGTTCTTGTCTTCCGTTACTAAGTGTGGTACAGAGATAGGACGCAGCAAAGACAGGAGGAGAGAACCCCATGGTATAACCCTCGTGTAGTGTGTAATCAAACTTCTAAGTCCTCTAGCTCATTATTTAAGTCCAAAGCCTAGAAACTTAGGTCCAAACCTACCCACCTGGCATTGGGTTTTCCCAGTGACCATTTGCCTAACTTCCTTCCATGAAGAGTATTACAATAATTTTTCAATCAACCAGTAGTGAAATAAATTCGGAAGCATCAATTTTTTTTATCTAGTAGGATAAAAACAAAACAAAACAAAACAAAACCCAGAGATGTGATCTAGGATCTCCTATTGAAAAACTGGCAAACAGTACTGATAGTTTAACACAGGAAATTATCATGTCATTTATTTTGATATCATATACTACCATCTACTCAGGATTTAAGGGTCATCAAAACTTTATTCCTAGCCAAAGGACTGGTAACAGGGAAAAGGATAAAAAGCTTATAAGTTTTCTCTGCAATAAAACTACCTGTGCCTCTTCAAAGTTTTATATGTGACATTTTAAGTCAACATGGTTTCATAATATACATCTATCATCATTCACCAAATATTTTTAAACAAAGAGAGTCTATATTTTAATCAGCAATCTCTTATCCAAGCATTTTAGGCTCAACAGTCAAGTACAACTGAGTCCAAGAATGACTCCATCAATTCAAAGAAATGAAATATTATATGATTGTCCCAAAGACAATCAACGTCACCGCTTCACTGAAGTCAATAAAAAGAAGGTGCTATTTTATCAGTTTTAAACTATTAGAGTACAACATAGAAGCTATCAGAATGGTAAAACCCCAATTTATAATGGAAAGCTAGAAAAGTCTCAAAATGTTAAAGAGGTCGTTTTTTGTTTGTTTTATAGGTCTCTCTAGGATCATTTGTGTGTCTCTGTGAAAGACTAGTTTGGGAATTATTTTTAAAGAGCAAAAACGATAGGGCACCTGGGTGGCTCAGTCAGTTAAGCATCTGACTCTTGGTTTCAACTCAGGTCATGAGCTTAGGGTTGTGAGATCGAGCCACAGTGCTGAGCGTCAGGCTCAGTGCTGAGCGCAGAGTCTGCGTGAGTGCTGAGTGCTGAGCGCAGAGTGTGCCTGAGGTTCTCTCCCTCTGTCCCTCCTCCCATCCTGCTCTTTCTCGAATAAATAAATACCTTAAAAAAAATAATAAGGAGCAAAAATGAAACTTACCAATAGACATTTGTTCCCCATAATATACAATGCAGCACATAATAGAGAAAGACAGCACTCAGGAATATGGCCACAAGGTACCCTCTCATGGCTGGCCCACCTGCAACACAGGAATGAAGTCCAAAGAAAAGGCAATATTATCTGTTCACACAAAGACTCAAATACAAGATTAGTGAACAAACATATAGAGAGGGAAAAAGAAGTAAAATGATGTAGGCGTATTATTTTTGGAAATATCCACTAAATTTGCAGGAAGAGAGTACTTTTTTCCTCTCCTCAGCCTCTTTATAGTCAATATAACATGGTAGGTAGACCAATAAACAGTAGAACCATTGTTTCAAAGTTGGTGGCTTCCATACTACTTTTTCATGTTAGAGAAGAAAAAAAACTCACTCAGAACAAAATGTTACACATCTATTCCATATCCAAAACTTTTTTTCAGAAACATTAAAAAATATCTATTTTCACTCTCTCCATAGAAAGCGAATATATGCCTTAAGATGTAAACAAACATTGCATTTATTCAGTGCTCAAAGTGATTTTTAAATGCTCTACATCATAATTTTTACAAGTCCTTTATGTAACTTTTATAAAAACTGGGAAGGGGTGCCTGGGTGGCTCATTCGGTTAAGTGTCCGACTCTCAATTTTGGCCCAGGTCATGATCTCAGGGTCTTGAGATGGAGTTGGGCTCTGCACTGGATGTGTACGCTCTCATGGCTGGCCCACCTGAAACACAGGAACGTGCTTCCCTCTGCTTCTCCCCTTCTCTCCCTCTCCAAAACAAAACCCAAAACCAAAAAATCACCTTATAAAAACTGAGGAAAAAAGCTACTAAAAAATATTTCCCACATCTTCGATTTTTATATACCTTTAGGTGTACCCATTTGATTTTTCAGTTTCATAGCACAGGTAAATTTAGCTAACTTCTTACTTATTTTTGCACTACGTAGACAGTTTGGTCCACTATACATTGTAGATGGATAAAAACCTGGACACAATCCTCTTTAGAATATAAATTTAAAAATCCTTTATAGCATATATATTTTTAAAAAACCTAACCATATTTAGTTCTCACTTGTGCTTCCTAGAAATGAGTAAGTTCTCACTTCCACATGCAATTCAATGCAAAAGACAAATTTAATATATTATATGGCTCTTATAAGAGATTTCAGTGCTTGTGATTTGAAACAAGTAAGCTATCTCTTTGCCTCTCACCAAGTTTCTGATTCATCTAGACAGTTGCACATACCGCTCCTCCCACTCCTGTTCATATCTATCATATCTATCATATCTAACCTCAATCGGGGCAACGCAGTGTAGACACTGTGAGTCTGAGGAGATACATTTCCAAATAATATCATGCTGTCTCCCTTTTAACAGTAAAGTAAGGCCAAATGGAACTCTTAAAATAAGGCACTCCTTTGCCTTCATAAGTAGAATATAATAAATATAATTTAAGCTTTCCTTGATAATGTGGGGTCATAATTGTGCTGGGCTCCTCTGGAACCAAGAAGGGTGTGGGACTGTTTGCTAAGCAGAAGTCCTTATGCAGTGGAGATTGCTGGTTTCCCTTCCCTTGCTCTCAGCTGCTGCTTCTCACTGCTATGCAGGTAGCCACCACACTCACATGCCGTTGTAAGTCAGAAATGCTTATGTAAGGAGAAAGCAAATAGAGGAGGTAAATGAACTAAACTGACACATCTACCTTAGTATACATAATCCCTGTGAAAAGTCAACACTGCTTGGCAACCAGAAGACAGGAATCATGGCCCAACTCCACATAATTCCTGGCTTGGGGGGGGAGGGGTGCCTTAGATAAATCCGTTTACCTCTTCCAACTCGAGTATCCTCACATGTTTACAAGTGAGAGCATACAACCTACCTCTTTGAGCTGTTAGGTAGATGACCCCAAATGATGGGTGTCTCGGACAACCTAGGACACAAAATATGTAAATAAGTTTGTGTATTTTACTGTTGTTGGTTTTCTGAAACTAAAGACAGCTGTGCTCTTTTTCTAAGTTGTAACATGCAAGGGTTTTGAGAAAGCCAAAGTGAGCCTTGGTCTACCCTAACTCAGCCTACACTGCATTCTTACCGGCCTAACAGAAAGCAGTAGTTGCACGCAGTTTTGGCAGAAAGCCCACATCCTCTGACGGCAAAGGGAGTAAAGCATATAAAGAACGTCTAGATCTGCTGCTTCCATCCCCTCAGGCCTGTGCATCTCTTTCCACTTTGTTTCGTCGTCCTCATCCATTTGTAATGTATGCTATCTTGATGTATTGTGGGTTATTTTAAAAATTGCCTTAAATTCTTCATGGTAAAAAAGCAGGAAATGCATGATTATAGGTAGGTTAAAAAAAAAAAAGGTATGGCTCTATGTTTCTTAAGGAATACTTGGTAAAATCCAAGTGATGGAGAGAATTAAAGGTTTGGGATTATCAGTAAAAATCTAAGACAGTGAGGTGTTTGGGATGTTAGATGCATCACCGAAATGGCTAATTAAAGAATGAAAGAGAATTTAGCTAGCCCAGAGCCTGGCCCTTATACTTGTTCAACAAATGTTAGCTTTCCTTCCTCCCCTCGTACTGGATGCACTGAGAAAGGTCAAGGAACTGGGGTCCAGCTGGGTGCTAAAAGGCAACTTGTCATACAGGGGAGACGCGACCACATTAAGTGCTGACTAAAGGCCGTGAGCAGTGTTTCATGATGACAAGATACAGGCCTATCAGTGTTCACAGAGGGACTGATGTGAACTTGGCTTGTCTCATCCCTTTGACTGATGTGACCTCAGCAAAATGCTTACCCCCCTCCTCATGCAGGTATTATCCAAACATGGATAGAGGATATATATAAAAGACTCCAAAGAACACAGTGGGAATATTTATATATCCTGGGACTCCCTTGAAAATACACCGTAATTAACTCCCTTTTGTTGTACATGCTGATGGTCGCAGACATCAGGGGTGTTTGGCAACTCTGGGACTTCTGGAATCCACCAGTTAGACTTGAACTGAAACGGTTTTAGAAATTACTTTAGGCTGTCCTGGAAGGTATTTTACCATGGGCCAATGTGGTCACAAAACAATCTGCCCAAATGCTCAAGTATTTAAGACTCCACCTAGAAGAACATCATTTATGCAAACATCCAACATGAATGCCACTTACCAGTATCAGCAATCTTTTAAAAACCTATTTACATGTGAGATAAAACAGTATATGGAGGCTTAGAGAAAGAACTCAGTATTTATAATGCGATTTGCTCATCTGTCCCCCAAAAATGCATTCTTCGGGAAATTTATATAGTATTTTACAAAGCACAGAAGTATAAGTAAGCAAGATTTTGTTTTTCATTCGCTAATGTGTGTTTTAGCTGAAAACGCAGAAGTATGAGAGAACATTCTTTTTTCCTTTAAAAATTAAAAGGAACCTACTCTTGAAGAGCCATTGCATATACCAGCTGAGAAAAATTTAGGAAGCTTAGCCACTCTCTTGTATTTCATGGGCAATTCAAAGCATATTCAAGTTGCAAAGCAGACTGGGCCAGCCAGGATATCCTTGTAATAAACATGTATAGTTCCTCTGCTCGCTCGTAGGAAAAAAAACTTCCACTAATAAACAAATTCTCTAATTATAATTCTATAAATGGAATGACCATTTTGCTTTGAACAAGTATTTCAAAAGAAAACCAGAATTTAAGATAGAATGCCTGCTTTAAGGGAAAGGAAAAAAAAAAGCAAGCCCTCAGTAGAGCTTTGGTTACCAAAACAAATAAGTTTGAAGATCTTGATATGAAACATGACAGACCCAGCTTCTTGGCTGCAGTTGTTCCCAAGACCAGGGTCCTGATAACATTCTTTACAAAATTTAAGTCATAAAGTAATTTATCTTGGGTGTGGGCAGAGGCCATCACGCAAGAACAGGAATCACTGGCAGAGATCAACTATTTCTTCTCAAATTATATCAATATGAATAATCTGTATATGCCCAAGTCTGCTCAGTCATGAGCAACGGTTTTCCTTTCACTTTAATAATAAAAGTGTGTCTTATTTGCAAACCATGAAAGACGATGGACTCTGAGAAACAAACTGAAGGTTCTAGAGGGGAGGGGGTGAGAGGATGGGTTAGCCTGGTGATGGGTATTAAAGAGGGCACGCACTGCATGGAGCACTGGGTGTTATACGCAAACAATGAATCATGGAACACCACATCAAAAACTAATGATGTAATGTGTGGTGATTAACATAATAAAATTTTAAAAAATGCAAAAAAAAAAAGTGTGTCTAATTTTGTGGAGCTTTAAAGTTCATAGAATGCTCTTACAGCCCTCACTTCACTTAAGGCTCAAAATAAGCCTGATAAACGGCAGGTAGGTATGATCTTCCTGATGAATGAAGAAACTGAAAGTCTCTGAGGTTGAGTTGCCCTAGGTCACACCGTTGGAGAGACACAAATAGACTGAAGGTCCAACCATTTCTTCCTCACAGTTCTATTCCCGGGGTCATCCTGTCTCTCAAGACAAAAGGCATGAGGGGAACCCAAAAGAGAGTTCTAATCTATAACTTCCTGACAACACTTGTTTGGCAGCTAGAGTTCCTAAAGGGTAAATTCAGAGATCTGTGAAAGAGAAATGTCTCTAGGGCAGCGTGCCCCCAACTGATGTGACAGGTCCAAGGGGTCAGTGCCAGACGGGGGCTTGGTAACATGCACATTCCTGAGCTCCTACTGGGTCGGAATCTCTGGAGCTCAGGAATGTGCACTGAAACAAGCACCCACCAAAATAATTCTTACGCATACCGAAGTTTGAGAATCATTGCCACCGTATACTCAAGAGAACCACGGAGGGAAAAAAAATAATGGGTTTAGTGAAATCAAGAGACCATCACAGATGTTATAATAATTATCCTGACTAGACTATGAGCTCCCTAAGTGCAAGACAGTAGGTTTTGTCTATCATTTTATTTCCAGCATTTCTAATACCTGTCACACAGAAGATGTTAAGTAGATAGCTGTTGAATGTACTTACACATCCCATAATTAGATGCTTTGCATTTTTTTTTTTTAACCAGAAATGCCTAGCACATAGCAAATGCCCAGTGGA